AAGGAGGGCGGCTTATTCCGCCCACGGTTATGGAGGTGGAGCATTTCAGCAGTGGGACAGCAGCCCGTGCTGGGCTTCCAGTAGAGGTCCCGCCCTGCTTGCCGTGCGGTGGAGACATGGAAGGGGAAGCAAGCACGTGGAGGGGGGGTCGCACATGCAAGAGAGAAACGGGCACGCACCTGCTCCCCAACACCCGCCTGTCACAGTCCCTAACCCCTGCCACAGGTTCTAACTCAGTCTCTGGGAGAGACGTTAGTCCGTTCTGGCAGGTGGTACTCCCATGACCTAAGCACTTCCCAGTAGGTCCCCCACTCTATCACCAGTACGTGGGGGACCAGCTGCTGGCCCAGGAACCTCTGAGAACAGGCCACCTCCCAACCGTCCACCCTGTCTCAAACACTCCCCTTCCCACCACAGAACTCTAGCCAGGTTTCTCCTGGCTCCCTGCCATGCAGAATTGAGTGGTGGGACTTCTCAGTTATTCTCTCTCCTTAAGAAAAACGCTTTTCCAGTTATAATCAAAACAGCCTGGTACTGGCAAAAAAAAAGATGTGTGGGCCAGTGGAACAGAACGGAAACTCCAGAAACCAATCCACACATCTACAACCAACTTTGACAAAGGAACTAAAATCAGTCCCGGGAGCAAGGACGTCTCTTCAACAAATGGTGCTGGGAAAACTGGATCTCCACATGCAGAAGTATGGAGCAGGACCCCTACCTCACACCTTACACAGAAACCCACTCAACATGGATCAAAGACCTGAATCTATGACCCAATACCATCAAACTATTAGGGAACATTGGGGAAACCCTGCAAAACATTGGCTTAGGCAAAGACTTCTTGGAAAAGACCCCAGAGGCACAGGCAATCAGAACCAAGATTGACAAATGGGATTACATCAAATTGATAAGTTTCTGTACTGCAAAAGAAACACTCAGGAAGCTGAAGAGGCAGCTGACAGAATGGGAGAAATTATTTGCAAACAATGCAACTGATAAAGGATTAATAACCAGAATCTATAAAAAGCTGAAGAAACTCAACAACAAAACAAACAACCTAGTTATGAAATGAGCGGGGGCAGTGGGGGCTCAGTGAGCGGGGGCAGTGAGGACACAGCTGGGGCAGTGAGGACACAGTCAGCTGGGGCAGTGGGGGCTCAGTGAGCGGGGGCAGTGGGGACACAGCGGGGGCAGTGAGGACACAGTGAGTGGGGGCGGTGGGGACACAGTGAGCTGGGGCAGTGGGGGCTCAGTGAGCGGGGACAGTGGGGACACAGTGAGTGGGGGCAGTGGGGGCTCAGTGAGCTGGGGCAGTGAGGACACAATGAGCGGGGGCAGTAGGGACACAGATTGTATGGCAGTGAGGACACAGTGAGCGGGGGCAACGGCGGCTTTGAAAGAGCTGGGGCAGTGAGGACACAATGAGCGGGGGCAGTA